AAAATAACATTGAGCCCATACACCGTGGGACCCGATTACCAGTCGTAGCGGCTGATAGTCCGATTCAAGTCATATCAACAAATCTCCACCTTGACTTGAATCCTCTTCCTCTGAAATCTCTGATGTACTCTGCTCTTTCTCTCTCTCCCGCCATCAATGCCCCGTAGGGCAGAGTCACCCACTCAAGACATTCAGCAAGTCCAAGCAGTGTTGGAACATGCCATGTGGAACCGGCTTCGTGAACATATCAGCAGGATTATCCGCGGTGCCAACCTTCTTCACCTTAATCCTCTTCTCTGTCCTCAAGAAATGATACCTCACATCGATGTGCTTAGTCCTCTCATGGTGGACTTGATCCTTGGCCAAGCATATTGCACTCAAACTGTCGCAATAAACCACTGCCTGATCATGATGTAGACCCAGATCACCAACCAGTCCCTTCAACCATATTCCCTCCTTAGCAGCTTCTGTCAACGCCATATACTCTGCCTCAGTAGTAGACAATGTCACCGCCGACTGCAGAGTTTCCTTCCAGCTCACTACAGAACTCCCAAGAGTGAATACATAACCGGTCATCGATCTCCTCGTGTCAACATCTCCAGCATAGTCCGAGTCAGAATACCCAGACACCAAGCACTCTGTATCACTTCCGAAGCTAATCCCCAATCAGGTGTACCCTTAAGGTACCAGAAGATCCTCTTCACAGCCTGCCAATGCTCCTTCCCAGGTTGTATCATAAACCTGCTGACAACACTAACAGCATGTGCAAGATCAGGTCTAGTGCATACCATAGCGTACATCAAGCTACCTACTGCACTAGCATATGGGACTCTCGACATGTACTCCTTCTCAGCCTCTGACTGCGGTGCATAAGCTGAGGATAGACGAACATTTGAAGCACTAGGAGTATTTAAGGGCTTTGCTGAAGACATGTCAAACCTCGACAGTATCTTCTGGATGTAGCTCTTCTGTGACAAGAAAAGCTTCTTCTTCGACCTGTCCCTGTAAATCTCCATACCCAAGATCTTCTAAGCAGCTCCCAAATCCTTCATCTCAAACTCAGCACTGAGAAGCCCCTTTAACTTCTAGATATCAGACTTTGACCTCGCAGCTATGAGCATATCATCCACATACAGAACTAGATATATCATCGAACCATCCTCTGCCTTGCTGTGGCCTGTGATATACACAACAATCATTTGGACTTCTGTTGTAGCCCAGCTCAAGCATGTAACTGTCAAATCTCTTGTACCACTGCCTCGGAGATTGCTTAAGTCCATACAAGGACTTCTTCAGCTTACAAACATAGTCTTCTTTTCCCGGAACCTCGAATCCTTCTGGCTGAGTCATGTAAATTTATTCTTCCAACTCTCCATGTAGGAAAGTTGTCTTCACGTCTAGCTGCTCGAGCTCCAAGTCATAATGTGTCACTATTGCTAGTAGCACTCTGATCTAAGTATGTCTGACCACTGGTGAGAAAATCTCATTGTAGTCAACTCCTTCCCTCTGCGAGAAGCCTCGTGCAACCACCCGAGCTTTAAATTTCATGCCCTCTTTAGAAGTGATTTCTTCCTTCTTCTTGTAGATCCACTTGTTTGTAACAATCTTCCTTCCCTGTGGTCGTTTGACTAGCTCCCAAGTCTGATTCCTGTCATGGGATTCCATCTCATCTCCCATTGCGGCAAGCCACTGATCAGCTTCACCACCCGAAACTGCTTCTCTATAGGACTGTGGCTCTCCTGCATCCACTTCCTCAGCAACCTGAAATGAATACGCCACCATGTCCTCGAAGCCATACCTCTGTGGAGGTACTCCTGCAGTCGCTCTCTTCGGTCTACCGGAAGCAATAGACTGTTTAGCTCGTGCACTGGACTCTGAAGTTTCTGGCTCTGCAGAGACATCCTCATCATGTTGATCTTCTCCACCTTGGTGCTCAAACTCACTCTCATTGAGAGTTTGCAGCTCCACCTGCTTATCAACATTCTTGCTACCTTCAGCAACAGTAACCTTCAACATGGGGTTAAACATAGACTTCTCATCAAATATCACATTTCTACTAAGTATAACTCGATGCTCAGAAGGTGACCAGACTCGATATCCCTTAACTCCATCTCCGTAACCCACAAATACACCCTTCTTTGCCCTTGGGTTCAGTTTACCCTCATCCACGTGATAATAAACATGATGGACCCAGTATTCGACCGACATCATAAAATACGTCAATTTTACCAGAGTTGTTACCCTCCACAAACACAAAGCTAGCCTACCCTTTCTACACATGGAAGGGACTTTTACGAGTTAATGGTGAATGAAAATATGTTTTTTACTCCCCTCTCAATCAAGTAAATACACAAGCTAACTCTTCTTTTAGGCTCACCCACGTGGCTTTAAGGGAGAAAGCCATAGTCGAGTTCTTTGTCTTCATTTCCTCATCATAAACTACCTATCTCTTCCACTTGTCCGCTTGATCACAAACAACCCACTACTCTCATCCCATATTAATGACACGGAAAGAAGAGGGGATAGAATGCATTTCCAATGACTAATTCTTTGGTTGATGGAGCTCTTGCACCGAAGCTAGCACAACACCATCTCTCTTTACATCATGCGTGGTGGACAATGAGGAGCTGAGATAAGTGCTTATGCCCTTGATTTATTTAATTAGGGTGATGGTGAATATGATGGATTAATCTATTTCATCTTCCACCAAACAACACATGCCACTCATTCCTCCTAAAACCACGTAAACATGAGGTGGAATATAGGCAAAACACACTTAACCTTTCATCTCCCCTTAATGCCAAGTAATACATGAGATGAATTAAGGGTGTATATGCAACCCACCCCACACTCTAATTACACGTAGGGGAAGCAGAAGATGAGAGGGGGATGTATCTTTGTCTACCACCATTAGTTGGATGCATGGTTGGGTTCAATTTCCCCACTTACTACACGCGGAAGGGAAAAGAGAAAGGTAAGTTATTTTCTTTTTAGCCAACCATCCATTGCACTGAAGGATGGGAGATACATGTATTTTATTATTTTATTAAAATCACGCCACCCACGCCAGAAGCAGGAGACACTTATAAATAGGATGCTCATTTATGCTTTTTCGGTAAGTTCCTTTTCAGATAAAAACTCTGAATCTCTCTCTAGAGCCGGCTCAATACACCGCTCCCGGTTACTCTCCTCTCAATACTGACTTGAGCTTCGGAGTAGGTCCCCGCCGACCACCGGCCGGCGGGTTCCTCTTGTTTTGCAGGTGTCCATCTCGGAGGCTGGCGACGGCGGACGTTGGCCAAAGGAGGACAGCGCTCACCGGACCTCAACACACATTGAAGCAGGCTCCTCGGAGCTTGGCATCAACAAAACAGGACACCCAAAAACTTTCAGTGAAGAGTAATCAGCAGGCTTACCATACCACACTTCATAAGGAGTCTTACACTCGATACCTGTGTGTGGTCCACGGTTGATCAGGAAGCACGCCATGTTTACTGCTTCTGCCCAGAATCTTCTCTCTAGTCCAGCATTAGAGAGCATGCACCGTGCTCTCTCCAACAATGTCTGGTTCATCCTTTCTGCAACGCCGTTCTGCTGGGGTGTATCTCTAACAGTCCGATGACGGGAAATCCCTTCATCCTTGCAGAATTCGTCGAACTCAGAATTACAGAACTCCAGACCATTGTCCGTTCGCAGCTTCTTGATCTTCTTACCGGTCTGATTCTCCACCAATGTCTTTCACTGCTTGAACTTCGTGAAAGCCTCACTTTTCTGCTTCATCATGAAAAGCCAAGTAAATCTCGAATAATCATCAATAATAGACAGAAAATACCTGCTGCTTCCGATGGATTCAACTCGTGAAGGACCCCAATAGTCGGAGTGGAGGTAATCCAGTATCCCCTTCGTCCGGCGGATACCCTTCTTGGGAAACTTGCTGCGATGTAGCTTCCCAAACACACAATACTCACAGAATTCCAAATTCTGCACCTTGTGCCCGCAAAGAAGATCCCTCTTCGATAGAACTTGCATCCCCCGTTCACTCATATGCCCCAGTCTCATGTGCTAGAGAGTGGTCATATCTTCCTGTTGAACCTGAGACGATGCAACTGCAGCAGAACCAGACAACACTGTTGCTTGAGATGCAGCTTGTTGGTTAGAGACTTAGTCATGTACAGATTCTCTAGTTTCAACCACAAGCCCGCGACAGTCTTCTCAGCAGCGACTTCAATGATGACGTCATCAGACAACGATAGCATGATGGTCGAGTGGGCCTTCTCCTCCAGGGTATTCCACTCATCGTCATCGACCGCTGCCTTCTTCTGTTTCGCAGACAGCGGCCCCCACAGCCCTTGCTGTTTTAATAAAGCATGCATCTTGATCTGCCATATAGCGAAGCTGTTCTTCCCCGTGAACTTTTCGATCTTCATGTTCACCGACGTCATTCTTCTGAATCGAAAAACCCTAGCCTGATTTCCAACCAGGCTCTGATACCACTTGTTATAAACGCGCTGCTACGTATCGGGAAATCGCCGGAATCGACAAAGCAAGAATACGAAAGCGAGAATCGAAAAACACAGACACACGATTTACGTGGTTCACTAACACGATGTGTGTTAGCTAGTCCACGAGTGAGAGAGAGCCAGTTTCACTATATCGAGGAGATTTCAGATTACAGAGGAGCATGAGAAGTATTTATAGTACTTCTCCATGTGGGTCTAAACCTAATCCAATCTGGCAAAAGAAACGGTTACAGACCAATCTGGCATTGCCCCCGCACCCCCCACCGGGGCGTTGCCCCTGGACACTACTCGCTGACCGGGCAGCTAGACCCCCAATTACCAGTCGTAGCGGCTGATAGTCCGATTCAAGTCATATCAACATTAACCTTCAGAGAACTTTTACTATACTATTTTTCAATGTTCAGCTTGTGCTATAAATTAAATTTATGCCTTTATATTTTACTGTACAAGTTCAGATTAGTCTTCTATGTTATGTTACATACTTGCATACCATGTCGTTTTTGTCGAGAGGAAAAGACTCTTTATACATACCACTTTATACTAGCCATCGTACAGGACAGCTAAAACAATGGTCCAATAGTACTACTTTAAGTCCTGCACTCAATAAAGACACCCCCGGTTCAGACTCGAATTCTGCTTAATCGAAAAACAAAACTATCTTCTTAGCATTCATGGTTTCACTTGATACATCAAGAACCTGCAAATGCCGTACCGCGTAAGAGCAGCAAGATTAAACAAACAGTGCCCACATCGATGCCAAAATTGAACAAAAGTTCTCTGCCCGGCGGAATCATAGTTGATAATGGAAAGTAAACAAGGTTCAAGTGTTTGTTGCCCTGGTGTAAATCTGCTGGCTTGAATGAGAAGAGACCATCCTGATCAAACCTTTTGCCATCAGTTCCCTAATTGCCTTCCTTGCCAACGACCCATTCACCTATTGAAATTGCATCAACAAATACAAAGTTGATTCAAGTAATGGCAAAGTAATCACACTATTCAACAAAATCCAACAACAAGACAAAGAGGACCCAGTTTCTTCAAACTGCAGGCTGTGACGATCAGATAAACTAAACGCTCTCCAGCCCTGGTACTACTTGGATGATATACATAAGCTAACATACAGAGAACAAGAACTATGTACCAAAAGGAACCTTCACCAATCCATGTCGCAGCTAGTTAGCCTAGCTCGTAAGAATCCTCAGAGAGACAAATAATGAGGTGAAAAGGAAGAACCTCCCACATGCCATTCAACTGTAAATAGCAAGTGACTGAGAAAAAATTAAAGCTGAACACAATCCCTTGAAGATCACCAAGGGGGTGTAACCTATATGTTAAGTAAGCTCTGGAGTTTTTACCCAAAAAAAAAAAGTAAGCTCGGGAGTGTACAGTTCTCATCTCAGGTTTGAGCAACTAATCACATAGAATGGAGTAGAATTAGGGATCCACCGTAAAGCACTTTGCCCACAATGTCTTGAAACGAGTCATTGTGGCAAAATGTCTCATTTGACAACAAACAAAAAGATCAGACTTTATGCCATCAAAGAATCACAATTTCTCATTAGAGTGAAGTCAACATGTCTGAGGATCCCATCCAAACGATACATCAAATCCCAGTGACCAGCGAAATGGGCTAAATACTACAATGTGCCACAATCCATAAACCTAACTACAGGGTACAAACTCTACTAGGCTAGAATATACTACTACTCTGGTTTATCAGATCTCAACCCCACCCCCTACAATTCGAAGAACCCTAGAGTTAAACACACATCTAAACAACGCATTTCAATATCCAAAATTTGTTCATAGGAGTGGTTAAGAGATTGTTTACCCTGAGACGATCGGAGAGGATGGAAGGAGTGATTAGCTTGTACTTGGGAGCCTCAGAGATCAGCTTGTCGTAAGTACCTTGGTCGAACAGAACCATGTTGTTGACCTTCTCCTTTTGCTTTCCTTTGCTCCACTTCTTCTTCTTCTGCTTGCCTCCTCCGGATTTGGCCGGTTTCGACGACGGCGGCGGAGCCTTATCCTTCTTTGGAGCCTAATCACACAAACCAATAAACGATCATTCTCGCCATCGAAAACAAACTTGAAACATCGCCGTCATCAGAAGGAGGAACACACCATTGAATCGCCGAATTCGCAACACGAACGCGAACGGAGCTCTGCGCCTCTGGGAGTTGAAGATGGTGTGTGTTCGTGAGAGGGAGGATGAACTCTACGGCGCCAATCGCTTAAAACCCTATTTATCTATCGTCTACCATTCGGGCTTCCCTTTCCATTTCAGATCCCAACTTTGGCGGGCCGTGAAATTAGACCATTAGAATGTTTTGTGCAGCAAAGGCCCAAATACATTCGGGTTACAAACGACTGAACGTCAGCTCCAAAAAATTTGACCAAGTCACACATAACACGGGATTGTAGAAATGGCAATGACTAATGAGGCATGTTGTGGTAGCTTGGTAGGATATGAGTCAAGTTAGATATTTTATTTTCAGGTGTCAATTGAGATAGATCGATCTATATGAGTACGTTTATAAAAGAAAAAAAAGTACTTGAGACATTAATTTCTTTTTACTAAATTTTTTAGAAACAAACTAGTACATAACAACTGAAGTCAAATTGTTTCAAAAACAAATATCCTCGTCTAATCTAATTTCATTAGAGCTATCTGAAAGTAAAATTAAATTATTTAAGTAAAAATCTATATAATTTGGTCAAAACGAATAACAAAATTAGATGAGTAAATACAAAACAATTATCCACTGACCACAATCGCCTCACCACTCTCTTATGAGACATACATTATCCATCCAAAACAAATTAGTCAAGCCAGGTAAGACAAGTCAGATTGAACAAACTATATGACATCTGTCATGATTATGAGAGGTGGAACATGCATGCTAACAAGATTTGAGTGCTAGATGCCGCACAAAAGTTCAAGTCTGTAACAAATCCTTGTGCTAAACCGAAAAGCTCCGAACCAACCACTTCAAGATTGCCATCTTACCACATATATACTGTTAAATCAAACATGCACATACATGTTTCTTACGCGTAAATACTAATGTGTTGGGCTGCTACAAATAAACGTAACACATGCGAAACGACTGTGCACAAGATCAAATGTGCTGCAATCCAATTAACTCTTGTACTTGACAGAATGACTTTCTTCACACACAAATTCTGCTTGATGAAAAAACAAACCAACCATTTCATGTTCATATTTTGACCTGTTACATACCCGAACCATCAAATGGCACACACTATGAAATTGCTTAAAAGGGACAGAAACACATCAATATGCCAAAAACTGAACAAAATTTCAACCCGGCGGTGGAACAACTGAATCTGATGATGGGAATTTTACAAAATTCAAGTGTTTGTTGCCCTGGTGTAAATCTGCTGGCTTGAATGAGAAGAGACCATCCTGATCAAACCTTTTGCCATCAGTTCCCTAATTGCCTTCCTCGCCAGAGATCCATTCACCTGTTCAGTTGTATACAGAAACAACATAGTTAAAGAGATGATTAAGTGGAACAGAACAAGAGATTAACAACTTGATGAACGCCACGAACAAAATCCAGACGGAGTGAGAGTTCATAATCTGTATGCGTCCACGTATTCGGTATTACCAAAATGATAATCATCAGCTAAACCTACAAGCAGCAAGGCCAACCTACTAGATAAAGGTCGACCAAGCTAAGTAACCGGCTGTCATCACAGCTCATACAAACGGTCCGATAGACTAAAAGTGAGGTGAAACTCGGACCATACCACTGCTCAAGGTACATTACTCGAAAGAAACCTTGATGGTTTTCTTCCTCCTAATAAGAGTGATATCGGTTCATTTTTTCGTGGTTTAGGTACTACCTAAGGGATTCAAACCTGAGAACTCCAAGTTCAAAGCTAGTGGTATGACCACGAACCAAACCCTTGTTCATCAAAAGAAACCATGAATGTTATACTGAGTTTGGGACCGGGTGAAAACCTAAACTGTAGTAGAGCAAATGAGTAACCGAAGTTGCACACCGCAACCTAATCAACCTATAGAATATAATCCATTCCTGATTCCCGAACATTCTGGTCAAAGAAACTACATTTAAAGGTGCAGCAGAATCCGGGATCTAGTAGCCATAAAGTTCATTCAGAACTTCAAGTAGTCAAATAGGATGATTAACCATTACAAGAAGCATAAACCCAATCAAAGGGTATAACCTGCTGCAAAACACGAATCATACAGAGCCTAACACTCTGGTTCACCATATTCTCCCTCCACTTTACACCCACCCACATATTCATTGTTTAGAAAAAGAACCCTACACTTAACACACATCTATTTAACACATTGTAATATTCAAAGTACATGAAGAGATTGTTTACCCTGAGACGATCGGAGAGGATGGAGGGGGTGATTAGCTTATATTTGGGAGCTTCAGAGATTAGCTTGTCATAAGTAGCTTGGTCGAAGAGAACCATGTTGTTGACCTTCTCCTTTTGCTTACCCTTGCTCCACTTCTTCTTCTTTTGCTTCCCGCCTCCGGATTTTGCCGGCTTCGACGACGGCGGCGGAGCCTTATCCTTCTTTGGAGCCTAAAGACACAAACGATTTAACGGTAAATTTCGCATTGGAAACCAACTTAAAATATCGACGGCTTCAGAAACATGAACGCACCATTGGATCGCCGGACTCGCAACACTAATGAACGGAGCTCGCGCCGCTGGGAGTTGAAGATTGCGAGGGAAAGAGCTCGAAGGTGGAAGAGATTGCGAAACCCTATTTAACTATCGGCTTTCCCAGTCTGCTGGAGGCCCAAACACTGGCGGGCCGTGAATTTTAGACCATGTAGGCCCAAACTCTTACGGATATGGATCTAATATCCCAAAGTCGAACTCGAACATAACCCCGCGGCTGAATTTCCCTCTTCAGTTCACTTCACGTACTGCGGGAGAAAGGCGAACAGCGGCGGAACTCCGGCAGCGACGGTGTGGGTGTTTTCGGCCGGTTGCTTGACTCACTTGGGTGACGGTAGGCTGCTTTTCTGCGGAATACATCTTGATTGTAAGTTGCCGAGCGTAATGCCTCACGAATTGGAGCCTCTTGTTTGCTTTCGTTTTCTTGAACCTGAAAGCTTTGCTTTTGAATGTGCCTTTTGAACTCTGATAAGTAAGGAAAAGGATGTCATCGCAGTTAGAGACTGTTCCTTGAAAATTGACGGGCAAGCCGTTGTGTAGTTGTGTGCTTGTGCTGCCTGTGGGCAGGGTGAGGTCGATCGTTGATATTGGCCAAGTGTTCGACAAGTGTATGTGATTTTGATTAGAATATGGTAAGTGAAGAATACATAGAAACTCACAAGATGAGATTGTTCCCAATGTTGACCTTAGGGGTATGGTTGCTGGTGTGTCCAGTGCTGCAAGGCTTAGGTGACTTTATTTTCTTTAGAAACACCCTTGAGGACTTGAAGGAAATTGAAAAAGTTCATCAATGGAGGTTTACTACGATTATCCTCAGCGGTAAAAGGTTTTGGAAGAGAGGAATAGTTTAGATCCTTGACAGTTCAGGATTGTGGCTATTAAGAGTATATTTCTTTTTATGTTTTAATTATGCTTTATTATTGTTTGTATCCTGGTCGGAGTAGCACAGATGATTCGGTTTTCTAGTGGTAGTAGGATCCCATTTCTTTCTTTGTAGCCCTTCTATGGAAGAGAAGCATTGTTATTTAGACATTGGATTTGATAGGAATTCTCAGCAGTTCGCAATAGTTGTTATTGAGTTTCTCTAAAGGGTATCAACTCTGAGTTGTAGCGCCATACCTGTCAAACCTTATCTTGTTGACTGTTTTGGTGGTTCTTCGTTCTCCTACATGTCAAATCCTATATCTTCTACTAGTTTTTCTAATTCCAGTAGATTAAAGTAGTCCACAGAAACTCTAGACACATCAGTTATGGTCTATGCATGACAGGTTGAGGAGCCTGAAAGTTGATTGTCTCCATCTTCTGTGATGGTCGTTCATGACATTTAGTCAAGGACATTAATATTAGGTGGCTAAGAAACTGAGTCTTTTGCTTGAATTGTCAGAAAGTTGAGTGTGTGAGCCTGCATGGTGTAATTTAATTGCATTAAGATTTAAGTCGTCATTTGTGCTATTATCCATGTGCATAAATTCGATGTTAATTGCATATGGAGTTTAGAACGTCGTTCCTTAGCTCACATCTGAACAAATGGATTTTACAGGAATACAAGCCAGAGGTAGCAGTAGCACTAACGGTAGAAAAGAGAAAGGCGAAATGGGAACTTCTGTGCAGGTCACGCCACTTTGTGGAGTGTACAATGAGAACCCACTATCTTACTTGGTATCGATTGACAACTTCAATTTCTTGGTTGATTGTGGTTGGAATGATCACTTTGATCCCTCACTTCTTGAACCCCTCTCCAGGTGTGGTCTCTTTCATTTGAAAGAATGTTTGGGGCCTGTATTATAAAATTGCTTTCCGCCGGTTCTTATAGTCATTTTTATTGCTGCATATCAGGGTAGCTTCAAAGATAGATGCAGTTTTGTTGTCATATCCGGATACACTTCACCTGGGTGCATTGCCATATGCCATGAGTCATCTTGGACTCTCAGCTCCTATTTACTCAACAGAACCAGTTTTTAGATTAGGCTTGCTCACTATGTATGATCAATATCTATCACGCAAGGTAGTTTCTATTCCTCCCTGATTATTTATTGTTCTTTATACATTGTTGGATTATGCATGGGGACAATTTATCTCTTCTTTCTTGATGGAGCTTTCTTGAGCAGTAGATTATGGTTGTTGGTGATTGCTATTTATGCGTGTATCATTTTCGTAACTTGAATATGTACCCAATTTCCTTTTTACAGGCTGTTTCGGACTTTGATCTGTTTACGCTCGATGATGTTGATTCTGCTTTCCTTTCAATTACCAGGCTTACCTATTCACAGAATCATCACCTCTCTGGTAGGTACGTGTTCCAACAATCTAATTATACCTGGTCATACTTAATAGACCATTCCTGATCCGAATGACTCTATCTCCCATTGTAGGCAAGGGGGAAGGGATTGTTATTGCACCTCATGTGGCTGGTCATCTTCTCGGAGGTACTGTTTGGAAGATAACAAAGGATGGAGAAGATGTTATCTATGCTGTTGACTTCAACCATCGTAAAGAACGGTAATTAGTTCTTGAAAATTAATTTTTCTTGAGGTGATACATTGCTGGAGGAAATATTTACAGTATCTGTTTTCATCAGGCATCTGAATGGAATAGTTGCAGAGTCTTTTGTCCGTCCTGCTGTTCTAATAACTGAAGCTTATAATGCTTTGAGTAATCAACCTCCTAGACAAAAAAGAGACAGAGAATTTTTAGGTACGTTCGGCATTCTTGTCTTATGATCTAGGTTATCGCCAAGACTAAAATTTAAGCTTGCTTATTTGTCCCTTGCCAATCCTGACGGCTTTTGTTCATAGCATAGTTTGTTTAGTGTAATGTTATACGTGATTCAATTCAGCTAATGCTTTCTTTCTTCTTGTTTATTAAGATGGAATTGTGAGGACATTAGAAGGAGGTGGCAATGTATTACTTCCTGTTGACACTGCTGGACGAGCTTTGGAACTTATACTCATTCTGGAAGAGGTTAGATATGAGAATGGCATTTCTACCATTTGTTGACTGTATCTTAACTCCCTTTCAATTGCACATTAACGGGTTTTCCCTTTCTGAATATCATGCTTATTCAATTTGGCAGTTCTGGGCACAGCGCAATTTAGGATATGACATATTCTTTCTTACATATGTTGCATCAAGCACTATCGACTATGTAAAGAGTTTCTTGGAGTGGATGGGTGACTCCATCGCAAAATCGTTTGAAACTTCACGTAATAATGCTTTTCAGTTGAAGTAAGTCTTTTTTTTGTTGTTGTTGTGATAATCTCTTTTCCTGAGTGCTAGGATTTTTCATTGCCCACGTTTCAATATATGACGCAATAACTACTTACAATTGTGAGCTTTAAAATTCGCAGGCGTGTGAAACTTCTAATCAACAAGATGGATCTTGATAATGCTCCAATTGGTCCAAAGGTTGTATTCCCTGTGCCCTTCAAATTGTAATTAAGTTGTGCCATAGTGATTAAATGTGCAAAAGCATATAAACGGAAGTATGATGAGATAGGTTGTTTCCAGTATAACTGAATAAGTGTGAAGGAAAAAGGTTGTGAATGTGATCATATGTCGTGCTTCAGTCCTGGCAGTACCTCCTCAAGGCAGCACACATATGTCACCAGTTTTTTAGGAGAAAATGAAAAAAAGTGAAAAACGAAGAAGACTGCAGACTTTCCAGAAAAAACTGTCCTGCCTTGCTCCCCTTTGATATTAGTCTTTGCCATATATTCTGTGCCATAGTTGTGAGGCAAAACTTTGAACTCCAGCTTATGTCTTTTCTATTTGCTTTCTCATTCTTATCTAGGTCGTTCTGGCATCAATGGCAAGCTTGGAGGCAGGATTTTCCCATGATATATTTGTTGAATGGGCGTCTGATGTCAGGAACCTTGTGCTTTTCACAGAAAGAGGACAGGTGCGCCCCTGTGTAGAGTACATAATGATTTATCCATCTTTCCCCATGCTCATTTAAATTGCCATGTGAATCCTGATATTGATATTAAATTAATATGATTGATGGGTTTGTTCATGCTTGAGATTATCTGCTTCATATAAGATAGTAGTTGTCTGAAGGCTTTGCGCAATGCAGCTATACTTTCATTAATTGCATCGAAAATGTGATAGATAGAACCTAGCTTTGCTCTCAACGATCTTGTTTAATTGATTACCCTTCATTTATGAGTTGAATCCTTAGCTTTATGGTTTCCAGGTGGTAGTGAAAAGTGAATGTGAAAAGAAAATACATCTATGAAAATACATTTAGAAGACATGCATAAATATTAAATACATAAATCCTACATATATAGATACATATACAAGTTTTAGTTTTAGCTATGTTTACAGCAACTATGGTGGTCTTTGCTGGTCTGTGCCGACTGCTGATTAGTTGCACTAGTTAGTTAATGATTCACTTGTTATTGTAGTTTGGCACGTTGGCTCGAATGCTCCAGGCAGATCCACCTCCAAAGGCTGTAAAAGTCACAATGTCAAAGAGGGTTCCCTTAGTTGGTGATGAATTAGTTGCTTATGAAGAAGAACAGAAGAGACTGAAAAAGGAAGAGGAGCTGAAAGCTAGCCTCTTGAAACAGGAGGAAGCAAGAGCTTCTTATGGGCCGGATAATACTAGTGATCCAATGGTCATTGATACAACCAATTCACATGCTCCTCCAGATGGTATCTTTCTGAGGTTCCAATGCTTTACTTATCCAACTGTTTGGTGCATTTACTGCTACTTACTTCCTTATTGTATTTTGCAGTGGCTGGTTCTCGTGGAGGTGGATATCGGGACATACTGATTGATGGATTCGTTCCACCATCCACCAGTGTGGCGCCAATGTTCCCATTCTACGAAAATAACACGGAATGGGATGATTTTGGTGAAGTAGTTAATCCTGATGATTATGTAATTAAAGACGAAGACATGAACCAAACAACTTTACATGTAAGTTTCATTTCTTGAACATCTGTTGGTCATGCTAATCCCTCAACTTTAAAGTATCCAAGCTTCTGACTACTGGAACAATTGCCGGTTTCACACTTGATTAGAACACTATATTATCCCCCTGCCTTCTATTTTTCTGTTGGTAATCCTTAGAGCATCTTACATCGAGCCTGAAGATTACAAATGACCAACATCGTACTTGCTACGTTGGTGCTACTTCTTTCTATTATTTCTAAATAGCCTTCTAGTGGTTCGTTCAGTAGAATTGTCAAATGGATTGTTCCATTTCCCGGAATTAACTTCTGCCTGGTGTATTCTGTACAACCATGTTTGATAGTTAGTGTCTTTCTAATAGTACATCTCTCATCTCAGGTTGGTGGAGACATTGATGGAAAACTTGATGAAGCTGCTGCTAGTTTTATTCTGGATACGAAGCCTTCAAAAGTTGTGTCGAATGAATTGACGGTAAGTTGAACCTTCGTTTTGCTAGTTTTGTGAAGACTTGGTTGATTGAATGAATTTCATTAGTGTGTACTCGATGATCAAGCATGTTTTCTGGTAACTAATCATACATGATTTCGATCTGACATTTTTTAAGTTGATAATTGTCAATGGAACTTAATGATTCATAAGAAATTGAGATGCAGAAGTTAGATTGATGATGCAGTACTATCAATATTCTTATTGGACTTCGATTGTATGGCATGTATTACCTTTGCTATGTACTGAACAGTGATATTTGATTGCCAATCAGGTTCAAGTTAAGTGCTCACTAATATATATGGACTTCGAAGGACGGTCTGATGGACGCTCAATTAAATCAATCATTGCTCGTGTGGCTCCTCTGAAACTTGTAAGAGATGTTTGAGTTTGATATGTGTCTCCACTGCATACATTCTGCTTTATTCATCTCTCAATATATTGATTATTTAGGAGCTTTATTTTAATAGGATAGGAAAACTGACAGATAGCTCGTCTTTTTATCGTTTTTTCTTAAAAAGGTGTTGGTGCACGGATCAGCTGAGGCGACCGAGCATCTGAAGCAGCACTGCTTAAACCATGTTTGTGCTCATGTTTATGCTCCACAAATTGAAGAGACAGTTGATGTAACCTCAGATCTGTGCGCGTATAAGGTAACAATAATCCGTCGTGATCACTGATTGTATTAATACCCTACACTGCAGCAATAAACTTTTTGGAGATTAGTAACCAGGATTTCATTGTTTTGTTTGACCTGACCCCTTCTTGTGAAATCAGGTGCAACTCTCAGAACAGCTTATGAGTAATGTTCTCTTCAAGAAGGTAACATACTACCATCATGCAATCAGTTTCGAAGATTTCATGAACATAGATATGCACACAGGAACAATTACAGTTAGAGGCTGAGGTGGGTTTTTTTCTCATTTATGTGCTATATGTATATTTCAGTTGGGAGAATATGAAGTAGCTTGGATCGATGCTGTAGCAGGGAAGACTGAGAATCATGACATGCTCACTTTATTACCTACCGTATCAAAACCACCTCCACCACACAAATCAGTTCTTGTTGGTGATCTCAAAATGGCTGATCTCAAGCAATTCCTTGCTAGCAAGGGAGTTCAGGTGCCTAGCTTTCTTCTCCTGCTCTTTTTTCTTGATCGGCACTCAAGGTTCAAAAAGTGTTGTTAATTAATCCAGTTGATTCATAACTCTTACATTACAGGTGGAATTTGCTGGTGGAGGGGCATTGCGATGTGGGGAATATGTCACCCTGCGCAAAGTTGGTGTCGCCAGCCAAAAGGTGAGAACCCTTGTAGCCTTCAGATGCTTTTCAGGCACGAATTGGTTCTATGATGTTAAACCAGACATTCTTTTTGTTGCTCCAGGGCGGTGGTTCCGGGATACAGCAGATTGTGATAGAAGGTCCCTTATGTGAGGATTACTACAAGATTCGAGAGTACCTGTATTCACAGTTCTATCTACTTTAGGTAGATTCGGATTGGGACTCCTAGTGTATCCCGATGTTATGCCTTCTGTTTCACTCTTTGAGAATTTACTTTTATCCGAATTGAGGACACAGTCTGCTCTAGTTTTCATCAGAAATACAAAATGTGGGAACACCTGAGAACTTGGATCCAACTCTTTACCAGGAGTAGATTACAGGCGTTAAACCCAAAACTCCACCCTTTTTGTTATCTTTCGAACATTGGGTACATTTTGCCAAACATTAACCGAGACAGCAAAGCTGGTTAAACCGAACAAGAATGCAGTTTTACAGAACTGTACTGAGAACAGATGGATGATAACGAACAAGCCACTACAGAAGAAATATCTGTAAACAAAAGATGGACGCGCCTGTCTAGTTACTTGCTATTACATAAAAGTCTTCTCTTCTGTCACTAGGAATGAATCTAACAAGTCACACGTTTCGATTTACTGGCATCGGACATTTACTCATCCCGTTGAACATACGAGCCAAGCACTCATAGGATGGAATTGCTGGATCTTAAACTTGGAGGTGGGGCTCCTTCCATCCAGGCATCTAACCAAGATTCATTCATCTTCTCTTTCAGGTGGTAGGCCACAGGGCAGAAGCATTTTCTGCGAGCAGACAGGAAATGAGATACATTTAGTCATTAGCCTTAGCCGACCATCATAGTAGCTAGTAAGATTGGAGCAGGAGACAAAAGCTTCGACTAATGATGCAGCGTTAAACAAAACAACAAATTGCTATCTTCCTTATATGCAAATGATCAAACATTCTAATACCAATGGAAGATTACGAAACACAATTGCCAACCTCATGCCTTAACTGAGATTATCTCAAGTATTCATCACACAAAAAGACACACAGAGGTTATCTATTATAAGCATGTTCAATGTCCAGAGGAGCCCATTTTCAGCAATAAAGAACCCTAATGAAAGCAAGGTAGACTATGGATCAGAACACTTCAAGCACTCGAAGTCGGTATAACGGTATAAGCATATATTCAAGATTTTACTCCAAATGCAAAATCCATTTTGCGCCCATCATGACAGCTCCCCAAACAGTGACGCAATTAATCCAAGTTCATCCTCTTATCAGCTAGCTAACAATCTCATCATCAAAAGCCAGTCACCACTCACCATAGAAGTTACAAAGGAGCAAGATTATAAGCAAGCACAAACCTGCATGAAGTTGTAGCGCTCTCTTCCAATGGACTCGTTCTCAGCAACAGCAAAGTAAGCCAGCATTGGGTAGTGGCCAACATAAGAAGCATAGCTATCTCGCTGAATGTTCACCGCCCACTCGCTGCCCACCAGAGGAACATCAAATTTTACCAACAAAAACTCCAAAGAACCCAAAAAGAAAAAGAGGCAAATTCACAATACCTATCGGAAAAAAGAAAGGAACATAGGAAAAATACTCACAATCTGTTCATATCGGCATGGCCGGTGCCGACGTACTTGGCCTGGAGATGTTCGAGCTGGGAGTTGATGTTAAACCTATCGCTGGCCTGCAAGTGAAAAGATTTTAGGTTATATCAATCAGGCTTTTCAATTTTAATTTTAGAGTTCCGCAGGGAACTCGAGACGACGGGCTTCGATTTCACTGTTCATCAGTGGTGCAGAAGAACGTGAATTCCTTGGAGCAGAAGCGAGGAAGAAAGGGGAGGAGAAAACGATGGAAGGGATATTACCTGCATTTTCGCTGGATTGGAACCTACGGAAGAACAACGCGCGAAGAGCTGGGAGAAGAAACAGAGAAGGATTAGATTTAGGGGTTATGATTTTGTCAGTTTGCCGACGACCCGACGTTGCTTTCTCTTTTAGACCGGATCACGGACTACGGTCCAACCTAAACCGGTCAGCCCAATGTGGCTCACTGGTCAAATTATGATGTACGAGCTACGGCTGGACATTCGGTCAGTTTAATCAAATCGAATTGAACCCGAACAAAACTGACCCTGAAATCTGAATGAGGCTGTTTCTCCGAGCTGATTTTTACCAAACTCGTGCATTATCAACATTCAACACTATACGTTATAGATGACATCACTCATCCTTATACATCAGAATTACTTGCTATTCATGATGCTATGAGATGGCGTCTCACTCATAATTTCTTGACTGTTGCTTTTTGTGCGGACTCTCAATTGGTCATAAGGACATAACATCGAAGCAGACTTCTCATTCAAGAGCGGGAGCCATTTTAGATGAAGTTCACTCTCTTTTTCCCTCCTTTTCTTCAGTCTCGTGTCACTTTGCTCCTCGGAGTTTCAACAGAGCTGCCACCTCGTGGCAAAACAGGCTCTATTATCGGGAGTCCGGTTGTATAAAGACTACCGTTCTTTGTTAGTGTATCTCTTTTAACTGTATTGTTCGGCCATACCCTGGGGGCTTATCTTGGATTAAAAAAAAACACTATAGAGCCGATCAAAGGTAGCTCACGAGTTGAAATCAACAACCTACCGAGTCGAGCTGACTCACAATCCTTGCGAGTCGAACAAGGCTTAACTCAAGCTCGACTCATTAGTAAACGAGTAAAGTGTCGAACGAGTTTTTCCCAAGTCGAAAGACGAGCATCTCGTAAGCAGCTTCGCTCGTTTGCAACAGTAGATGTAACAAAGAAAGCCTATCTCTCTATGATGTCCTAGTCTCCAATGCCATAGATATATTTTGTAACAAAGAATGAGGTATGGACTGCTAACTGTGAGGTGAGGTGAAAGTAGCTGGTGAAGGCCTCTAAGTGCTCTTCGTAAACCCATCATCCTTAAGCTTAGTAGGTCTTGGATTTGATATAAATCATAGTGAAAGAGATAAGGTTGAATGATAACTTTTTTTTATACGAGGAAAAATCCGTGTTGGATGGTAAACCTCGGCCTCCACAGATACCCGACAAACACTGGGAACAAGGTATGGACTGCTAACTGTGAGGTGAGGTGGAAGTAGCTGGTGAAGGCCTCTAAGTGCTCTTCGTAAACCCATCATCCTTAAGCTTAGTATGTCTTGGATTTGATATAAATCATAGTGAAAGAGATAAGGTTGAATGAGAACTTTTTTTTATACGAGGAAAAATCCGTGTTGGATGGTAAACCTCGGCCTCCACAGATACCTGAAAAACACTGGGAACATTTAATACGAGCTTACAGTCCTGTCAGTGACCACCAAAAAGGTAAAGTGGCGGCTGTCAATGATCGAACCCAGGATATCCTCAAAGAAGTTTAGTTGTACCACCATTAGTTACTAAGCCCTTAGATGCATTAGGTAAATGAACAAATGTGTTTTGAACATCTTCATGCTCAACAAACAAGGTTAGTGAATAAAAAATGTGGTATGAGGCTCATTATTGAAGATCCAAAAATTAACTGAGTTTGTTTGATCTCTTACAGTTAGTAGACAAAAAATTTCCTTGAGACCTGTGATTAGTCTCCTGTCTCGCCCAACTATTTTTTTTTTTTATTATTTTATAAATAATGTCTCGCCCAACTATGAGAGCTACACTTTGTGTTCTTCCCATTTACTTCAGTTTTCAGCTTTTGGCTTTTGCTCATACTGGAGCATATCATCCACACATTAGGAAGTGATTTCTCAGACAACAAATTAAGGTTTAGACATCTTATGAGTGTTCATTTTATTGTATCTCGGTGTATTTCGCCACTAAAGCACAAGAATTAGGATTTTTCGGTGCACAATTGCAAGCCACTTTGGACTGAATTGAAGAAATTCTTCATATAAACATTTGATCTGTGCATAGTATTGGTTAGTTCGTAAACCTTGCTTACACCTATGAACATGGCTTGTAACCAATGGTTGAGCCACTTTTACCTGAGGTAGGCCTCAGGAACCACCTGGACGCTGAAGAACATAAGTAAAAAATAATTAGGGTTAATATTTTTGTATGGCCTGAACTTTGACCAAAATAAACATCCTGGCCAATCTTTTCTATCTATAACATACTGGCCCGAACTATACACCAAAATAAACAATTTAGCCAGATCCGACTTTTGACTGTTAATTTGGACGGTCAAACGCGTTGACCGTTAGTCAACGCGCCATGTCACTGCCAAGTCAGCATAAAATATTTAAAATAATTCACAATTTCCACACATTCCCTAACTTTAAATTACTATAAATTAAAAAAAATCATATGATACTTAGTTAAACCAAAAATAAAAAGAAAAAAAATTAAATATTTATCAGATCTTCTGACTTGGCAGTGACGTGGCGCGTTGACCGTTAGTCAACATGTTTGACCGTCCAAGTTAACGGTCAAATATCGGGTTTGGCCAAATTGTTTATTTTGGTGTATAATTCGGGCCAGGATGTTATAGATCGAAAAGATTTGCCAGGATGTTTATTTTGGTCAAAGTTCAGACCACACGAAAATATTAACCCAAATAATTACTATGGCTGGATGGGAGGTTCGAACGTGACATGTTTGTAACAGGTCCCACTCATTGAATTGTGCCTACTGCCTAGCCTTCACTTCAATTAGCGAGCTACAACTTCACCGCATATTGTTCCGATAACTCGAGACTCACGAGCTTGAAGCATGCACAGGTCCACCATACATTGTGCTTTAATCAACTGTTAATATCGAGAGTCGTAGAGATTCGAACACACGAGCACTTGCCAAAACCAGCTCTGATACTATGTCATAAACCAGTTAGTCCCAATAACTCGAGTTGTTGAGATAAGGTTATGCTGGAACTTATACCACACTCTTACACTAGGGGTGGGCATTAGGTTCGGTTTTACCGAACCGAACCGAACCAAACCGAATAAAAACCGACCGAAACCGAAATAATTATAGTTAGGTTCGAAATTCGGAAGTAAATAGGATAAATTTCGGAACTCAGGTTCGTTTGAACCGAACCGAAATTCCAAAAAACCGACCGAAATTCCGAATTACAACCCACCTGCCCGAATCCCAGCCCAATACTCGCGGCCCAACCTTCTTTTTTCAGCCCACTCCGCCCCAGTCCAACAAATTGGATTGGGCTTCTATCTGGTGGCCTGGGCCTGCTCCCTGCTGCCGTCTGCTACTTCTGGTCAATGGGGGCCTCTTCAAGTCTTCAACAAATCGAAGCAGCGACTGCCTAACCCTAGACGAAATCGCAAAAGGAATTAGGGAAAGCCGGAAAGGGAACTAGGGAAGCATCGAAGCAGGCGACGCAGCGACTGCCGACTGCGACAGTGCGACTCCGTCTCCTCCAACCTCCTCCACTGCCTGAGCCCGGCGACGTCGACGGCCCGACCTGAGAAGCAGCTTCGTCTCCCTCTCGACGCGATCCTCACCCTCGACGAGCACCCGTCGGCCCAGATCCACCGGTCTCCGCCTCCCAGGCTCCCATAATCCCACCCAGACCCAAGCAAGCACCCGCCGACCGTTGAGTCTCCTCCGGCCGCCACTGAATCTTCTGCCGAAGTCCGAAGTCCTACACTGAATCTCCGAGTCTCCTCCGGCAGCTATGAATTTCGGTTTTGGGCAGTTAAACCGAACCGAACCGAGCTATAATTCGGTTCGGCCAAACCGAACCGAATTATAGCTCGGTTCGAATTCGGTTGGGGTGCAGGGCAAATCGGAAATTCGGCATGTCCTAATTCGGTTCGGTTTAAACCGAACCGACCGAACGCCCACCCCTATCTTACACACATAGAACCTATCGAGTCATGCTGATTAAAGTGAAATCATGAATGATTTTTTGGTAGGATACATTGAGAGTGAGATTTTTTTTTATATTTGGACGATGAATGTATTTTGAATACTTTTCATATTTTCATAATATGAAATACGTCGCACATCATTATAAAACATCAATAAACATTATGTTCTTATTTTATTGGACCTACCCAGCGGCGTATCTAGGGTTGGGCCACGACACAGCCCTTCTCCGGATCCAGAGCTAGTATAGTGCTTATAAATTTCTTGATTTTAGGTATTCGGCCCAGTGTTGTTTGATAATATGATTTTGTGTCACTATGAAAATGATCTAGATGAACATATCCAAACTACTAGTGGCGTATTCGGCGCACCCACTTTTTTTGGTGCACTCAGTGCACCCACCTCATAATCATCATTCTGAGCATGCGATTCATGTCCAAACGGTATCAATTGTTGCTTATGATATTATGAACAGAATCACACGAATTTGAAAAAAAATCATTTAAAATTTACTTTAATTTGAAGAATTTAGGATTTAGGGTTAGGGTTTAGGCTTACAGCTTGAGATTTTGCATTGGGATTCAAAATTGAAGGTCAAAGGGATAGGGTAATAGATTCATTTGTTATGATTCTATGTCATATCATCATATTAGATTGAGAGTACTAATTAAAGTTCAAAATTTGATGTATTATGGACACTTTTAGAGATGGGTGCACTGAGTGCACTCACTTTTTTGGGTGCACCGAAGTAGCCACCCCAAACTACTACTCTATATTTAGCCTATATATTAAAGCCCGAATGATTTTTATTTAAAAAATAACAAAACCTAAAAGTCTAAAATGTAAAGACTAAGTATAAAGCTTCATTGAAATAAAAAAAACCCTCTAAACTAAAGTTCACCCTTCTCTCTCAAAACTCAAAAAAATTCTCCAATCCCCCCAAAACAAAAACAATCACGAGACGACGAACGGACCCAAAATGGATTCCTCGTCGAGTCTTCCGGGCGCTGATTTTCTTTCTGGTCTTTTGATTAATAAAATATTTACAAACTTAATGAGTCATCATTTAGATTGGCCCAGTTGAGTGGTGCACTAGATCCTAACAATTCTTTATGGTCTTTTGATAAAGAAAATATTTACAAACTTGCTCAAGAGTTTAGCCTCGAGACTTTGAAGGTTATGCGATGCATTCTTTGAAAAATGAG